AAAACAGGAAAAACAAATGAACAAATAAATAAATAAAAGATAAATAAACAGAAAATGAGACAGATAAATAAATATATATATATATATATATATAAAGATAAAAACAGATAAAACCAATGTATAAATAAACAAAAAACATTAAAAAGAACATAACAATATTCAGAATTTAAAAATTAAATAGAAAAATCAGACAAAAAAAAAACAGGTAAATAGATAAAATAAATAAATAAATATACGTAAACAAACAAACAAACAGATTAAATAAACAGATAAATGTGAAAATAAATAAAATATCAATAAATCAATAAAAATTAGTCAAAAACATAATAAATAAATGTATGAATAAATCAAAGATAAATAAATACATTAAAAAAATTAGACAAATAAATACATGGATGAAAACAGAAAAAAAAACAGACAAATATATACAACAATGTATAAATAATTGCATATATAAAACCAGATAAAAAAGCACAAAAAAATAAGTAAAAGTATAATAAATAAAAATTAGAAAAATAAAGAAATAGATAAAAATATATCAATCATAAAAACACATAAATAGATACAAATAATGCATAAATAAATGCATAAATAAAGTATAAATAGATAAATGGATAAACAGATAAATAAATAAATAAATATTTTTTTTTCTTTTACTGAAGGCCTTCTTAGCTACAGCATCAGCTGAAAATGGCTCCATAAAGACTTACAGATCAGCAAATATTTGGTTAATCTCAGATCGTGGGCAGAGGTTGTTGATGAACGATTTGTAAACATCAGGTGTCAAATCCTCCAAAGGGATGGAGTCGTTCTGCAGAGACGAACAAGAACAGACAATCAAATTATGGCTAGCACTTTATTTTACCCTCCTGTTTCGTAATTATAATAATTGGGTAATAATTAGGTTCTAACCCTGAACCTACCCCAAAATCTAACCTTACCCCCCATGTAGTTACCTTATACTACCCAGTACTTTCTTGGGTAAGTACACTGTAAGTACACTTACTGTAAAATAAAGTCAAGTGTAACCAAAGTATGAAATACATATTCATGCATTTATTATACAACATATAACATATAACATATAACAATGACAACGAGTCTTCAGTCTCACGCCAGAAATTAATCACCAAAAATAGAGAAGCTAAACCTGCTTTTACTAACAAGTGGCCTCATATGAATAAAACAAAAATATTTAAGCTTGCCTCAAAATTAATTAGCTAATTGCATCCTAAGAACCTAGTTCAGCAGACAACGAATCGACTGTTTTGTTACGTCAATCCCAATAATGGACAACGCTGTCGGAGAGCAAACATTACTCAATGTCATCCACATGCTGTCAGACGTTCATCTCCCACAGTAAACATTCAAAGCATCCAGCGCCCGCGGCTGATTAATGCTAAAGAAAGAAGAAAAAACAGATGAAAGGATGTGAGTGAGTGAGTCAGAGGCGGAGGCCGTGATGATTTCTCACTAGTTACACACTTTCTCCCTCACGACTCTCTCGAGGCCTTTTAACATTACGGATTTAGAAAATCTCCCTGTCTTCAACATTCAACCTTTAGATTTGCTGTAAAACGATAAGGTAAACAAATAGACTAGCTTTGATCCTGGAAGTGAAAAAGCAGAAAAAAAGAGATAAAAAGATAAATCAAAGTATGTATAAATAAATACATAGATAGATAGACAGATAGATAGATAGATAGATAGATAGATAGATAGATAGATAGATAGATAGATAGATAGATAGATAGATAGATAGAAAGATAGATCTATTTACTTTGTTTCCTCCTGAGGCCTTTTAACATTATAGATTTTGAGAAAATGTTCAACCTTTACATTTGCCATAAAACAATAAGGCAATTAGGATAGGATAGGTAAATAAGTCCATCAGGACAAACAGACTCCCTTTGATTCTGGAAGTGAGTCATTTGTCAGGCGGCGTGCCTCGATCTGAAAGCACACGTTTTTGGTAAAACCCACAAATTGACTTCCTGTGGAAACATGAGGTCTTCCTGTCTGCCAGCGGGATTCTGGAGCGATTAGCCGAACATATGCTCACCCGGCCGGCCGGAAGATTGCAGCTCTCCAGCGCCGTCTCCACACGCTTCCGGTCGGTCGAGAACAAGCGGAAGATGCTGCAGAAAGAGAGCGAAACATGAGGAGCATTCAGATCTGATCACGTTCTGCTGCATCATGTGAGACAGAGCTGAGTCTTACTTTTTCACTGGGATTCGACCCTCTTGATTCGTCTGCAGCTTGAGTCTCGTGAAGCTGGTCATAAAACAATTTCATGGAAAAACTAGATCAGCCATTCTCAGGAAACTGTGTCTCCATGACTGACTGATTGTGTTTATAGATACAGATATAGAAATATACACACAATATTTATTCCCATTCATCACCAGCACACTAATAATTCAATAAATGAATAAATAGATAAATATAGACAGACAAACAAACAGATAAAACAAATTAATAAAAAAACTGATAAAAAGATAAATAATTAGATAAAATAAATAGATAAGAAATACACAAATTAAAAATAAAAAATATGAAGCAATAAAAATAAATTTATAAATGCATAAAAATAGACAAAATGCTAAGTAAGATAACAAACACAAAAACAAAATAAGTTGATATAAATATAAAAATATATAATTAGATTTTAAAAAGTATATACTAACTAACTAAATAAATACAATTCTAAGTTACTTAGGGACACAGATTTTACATTGAACACAAAACGTTTTTATCATCCAAAAATAACCAAATAATCAAAAATAAAATAAAAGAAAGAAAGAAAGAAAAAGAAATATATTGATATTAATTAATTGATTGATTGATTGATTGATTGATTAATATTTTATTACTTAAAATTACTTCAGATAATTACGTAAAAACAGATAAAAGATTCAAAATAGACAATCACAAAAAAAATTCTAAATTTGTATTTTATTGAAATTAACACTATTGTTTTCCAATAAACATTAATTGGCCTGTTTTAAAGGGTTAGTTCACAAAAAAATAAACAAACAAACACACAAATAAATAAATAAATCTAAAAAATTAAAGTACCAATTAATTAATTAAAGAATATGTATTAACTAATTAACTAATTAAATAATATTAATTAATTCATTCATTAATAAAAACATATTCTGTAACACTTGACTTAAAGCTTTTATACATAATGCATTATAAATGTAGTTTTAATGCATTAACTATGCCTTGTAATGCACCTTATAATGCACTGTATGATCTCATGAATAACTCATGAATACATTGTAATACTTTTTTTTAATTGTCACACCTTTATAAAGTACAATGCATTAAAACGCACGACAAACAAACCTTCATATATTAAAATGCATTTTAACTTTGGTAACAATTATTTATAAAATTATATAATGCATTACAACACACAGTACATTATGAATACCTTGCAATGCATTATACATTATACAAGTGTTACCGTATATTCTTTTAAATCTGGTACTGTTTCCTGACAATGAGTCATAAACACATTTAAAAATTTTTAATAGAACAAAATCCTGTGACTGAGGTGTGAACGGCCTCCTGACGGAAGCAGGTAAATATAATCATCAGGTACTCACGCTTTCTCCAGACAGGACTCTCGGCCCATGTTTTGAGCGAGCAGGTTAGACGCCAGACTGAAGAGCTCATCTGCCCACTCCTTCATCAATGACGACGCACAACACAAAAGGCAGTTTCATTAAAACAATTCAGGTCAAGTATCCTGACTAGGATTTATGCTGCACAAGTATCTCACTGCCAGAAATATCTGCCACTCCACGCTCCGCTGATCTAATGAAATGTTCAGAGGCAGTAAAACACCTTGGCGACGTCTTCTTGGAAGGCCATGAAGTTCAGGTACTGGATGTTGACCATGTCTGGCCCCGTCACCACCGTCAGCATCCGGTTCTCTATCCGGCCCACCAGATTCCCCACATCCAGCAGCTCCCGCAGCTTCGCCTCCTGAGGGAAAAGCGCAGGAATGAAGCCGTAAAACACGGCAGAATAAGCCTGTAAAGCCTCTTTAAGACCGCTGTGATCTCGCCCACAACCGCTTCCCATGAGCGCTTTTATCTGGATGCTAAAAACACCTGCTGCTGCTGATGAAGAAACAACATCTAAAGCATCAGCCAGTTCAACTTCAGCCCCCACGCTGGACACAACACTATAGATAGATAGATAGATAGATAGATAGATAGATAGATAGAAAGACAGATAGAAATATACATAAATGTATAAATAAATAACACATAAAATTGAAGCTAATTTGTATTGAAATTAACACACGATTGTTTTCATCTAAAATACACAAACAAACAAATTCATTAAATATTACTTTTATTAAAATTACTTTAGGACTCACTTTTTAATCACACAAAAATACAAAAAATGAAATGCATTAATATAAATAAATAATGGATAGATGGATATACAGAAAAGTAGATAAATATATAAATAAAAAAATATATATATAGAGATTTTTTTAATTACTTCAGAACGCTTGGGCGCAACACTTTTTTAATCACACAAAAATAACCTAAATTTAATATTAAAATGTATTAAAATAAATAAATAAATAAATAATGGTAGATGAATATATAAAGGAACAAAAAGAAAATAAACAAATAAATATAGATGGAAAAAAATATAGCAATTGTGTATGAATGAATGAATGAATGAATGAATGAATGAATGAATGAATGAATGAATGAATGAATCAATCAATCAATCAATCAATTAATTAATAGTGGACAGATGGGTGGATGGATGAATAAACAGCTAGATAGATAAACATATTAATAAATGAAAATAAAATTAACAAATAAATAAACATAAAAAATATAGCAAAATAAGTATAGCTAAAAAAAATACATAAAAGTATGTATAAATGAATGGATGAATGAATGAATGAATGAAACATGCAATTCTATCTATTTTTTTTATTAAATTAACTCTCAATTGTTTTCCTCTGAAGTGAAAGAATTAATTAATGAATGAATGAAATTACTTCAGAACCCAGATTTTATATTGGACACAACACTTTTTTTTATCATATAAAATGAGCAAAAAATGTAATCTGTTTAAACAAATAAATAAATACATTCTATCTCAATTTAGCTTTTATTGAAATCACTTCAAGACCCCAATTTTACATTATATAATTATTATTTTATTTTTTTTTACATACAAAAATAATCAAATATGAAATATGAAATGCATATGCCCATGCTAATTGTTTCATGTAAACCTGGACTGTAACAATGAAATACGTCTGGCTGGTTGTTTGCGCGCCGGTCAGATGCTCTGTTCCTGTCTGTGTGGGCGTTTGTTGGCCAGAATGAGCTGCAATGTGGAGCCGATTTTCAGCCAAAAGAGCCTTTGCGTCTGTAGCTGAAAGTGTTCATCAGGTAGGAAGCCTCTCTGGTTTTGGAGCAGATCTTTCATCTGTCGTGTCGTTCAACAAGTGTTTCTCTCGGCAGCTCATGCAGCTGTGCAACAGGTGTGTGTTCGGCTTTCAGCTGTCAGCGGCTAATTAAAGCCAACGCAACGACTCTCCAATCAAGCGCTGATGTGTGAGAGCCATCCGCACCACAGCAGAACCAATGCTTTAACAAATATAATCAAGCCTGAAAAACACTCCCACTGCTGAACACATCTGGATGATTGAGAACGAGCCAGCAAACGAGTGAAATCCCAAAGAGCACATGAACACGTCACCGACAACAAATGGAAAAAATCTAACTAGTTATCAATTTCAATACGGTAAAAATGAAAAATGAATATATATGTGTGTGTGTGTGTGTGTGTGAGTGTGTGAGTGTAAACAAAACTAGTTATCAATTTCAATACGGTAAAAATGAAAAATGAATATATATGTGTGTGTGTGTGTGTGTGTGTGTGTGTGTGTGTGTAAACAAATAACTTAATTCATTCTTCATCATTTTTGCTTTTATTGAAATTGCTTCAAGACCAAGATTTTACATTAAAACATTAGAAGTTCATTTCATATACTTTTTTATCATACAAAAATAATTAGAAAAATGTAATGTATTAATATTAAAATAAATATGTAAGTAAGTAAATAAAGAAATATATTAAAATAAATAAATAACTAAATAAAAAAACAAATAAATTCTACCTACATTTTGCTTTTGTAATATTTACTTCAGGACTCACATTTTACATTGGACACAACACTTTTTTATCATGTAAAAGCAATAAAAAAAATAAAATGTATTAAATCGATAAAAATAAAAAATAAAATTTTTTCGTTTAACTAAATTCAGGACCCAGATTTTACATTTAATACAAATGTTTTTTTGTTTTTTTTTGTCATAGAAAAAAAAAGAAAAGTATACATAAACCAATAAAAATCTACCTAAATTTTGTTTTTATTAAAATTACTTTAAGATCCGATTTTACATTGGACACACCACTTTTTATCATACACAAATAACTGAAAAATTAAATGTATTTAAATAAATAAACAAATAATGCTTTTATTGAAATTACTTCAGGATACAGATTTTACATTGGGCGCAACACTTTTTTTAATCATACAAAAATAACAGAAAAATCAAAAGTATTAAAAAATGTATTTAAATTAATTTAATTTTTACAAATTTTTATTAATTTTGCTTTTATTGAAATGACTTCATGACCGAGATTTTACATTGGACTCTTTTTTAAATATACTAATATACTTGTTTTAAATATACAAAACTAACCAAAAAAATTAAAGATATATTAATATTAACATGAAATGCGTATCATGTGCAAGTGCAATCCGTGCCACAGCAGACAAATATAATCAGACAAATTGAACAAACATATTCAAGGGTAAAATCACTCCCACCGCTGAACACGTCTGGATGTTTGCATGAGGACGAGTGAAATCCCAAAGTGCACATGAACACGTCACCGACAACAAATGGAAAAAAGATACCGATGGTTTTTCATCAAGAACAATCAAATGTTTTATCAGTTCCGGATGTGATGCCCACAACACACCCAGAGGAAAAGCACGCTATTACAGAGTCTACATCCATCAGAGCTCCGGAAGCCTTCGCTCATTTCAGTGACGGTTCAATGAGTAATATTAGAGCTTGAATTGTCTTCATGCCACTTGAGGGGCCAAAGGATTGATCGGCGCCACCAACGTCTCGCTCCAAACTAGCATTCAGATCCATTGCTAAATGATGCTCATAAATATTTGATTCAATCAGAAAGATGTGCAAACACTGAATAGACCGTCACACCCATAATAGAGTACATCAATGAATCCAACGTTCCCTTTTATTTCTGTGAAAGCATAAATACAGCAACTAAGATGCCATTTGCAACCACTTATACTTGCGTAATGTGACATTTTATTTGACATCTTTGATGTAAGATTATGAAGACAAGATTTTCTGTAACATGCACACAATCAGAAATAGGTATTCACATGAATTAAAAATGAAAATTGGCTGAAAATGTCTTCACCCTCAGGTCATACCAGATGTAGATGAGTTTGTTTCTTCATCAGATTTGGAGAAATGTAGCATTGCATCACTTGCTCACCAGTGGATGCTCTGCAGTGAATGGGTGCCGTCAGAATGAGAGTCCAAACAGCTGATAAAAACGTCACAATAATCCACAAGTAATCCACAGCACTCCAGTCCATCAGTCGACATCTGGAGAAGACAAAAGCTGAAACAAATCCATCATTAAGGTATTTTTAACTTTAAATTGTTGCTAAAATATGAGTCCATAATCCATAATAACACTTCCTCCAGTGAAAAGTCCATCTCCTGTTGTCTCTCACATCAAAATCCAGCCACATATTTGTTTAGAGCTGTTTTGAATCTGTGCAGATTTGTCTCCTGATTCAGATCAGACCACTTTTTCACTGCAGGAAGCGTTATTATGGATTATAGACTCATATTTTAGTTAGAAATGTCACTTCACAAGACATTGACTGATGGACTGGAGTGGTGTGGATTACTTGTGGATGGATCCAGTTGTGAGCAAGTGATGCGATGCTACATTTCTCCAAATCTGATCTATGTCTTGGCCTGAGGGAGAGTATATTTTCAGCAAATTTTCATTTTTGGGTGAAATATAAGCTTCATTTGCATGTCCTTCAGGCCGTTTGGTCCTACAGGATCTGCATTTGTAAATTATGTAAATCTTGGTGATTAAATTGGAGCTTAAATCATCATGATTCAGCTGAACGGCTGCTCTGAGGGAGACGCCAATGACACTATAAAAAGATTAAAACATTATTAAACGTACCATATATTTCTGTAAACACATTTAAATGCTGAACATCAAGAATGTGCTTGTCGATTTCTGTTAGTGGTGTTTGCAAAGTCAATTAGTGCTCATAGTTGTTCTAAAAGATTAAAACAAACCATTAATACAAAGTATTCAACTTCTATGAATGCATGATTTTCAGCTGTTAGACCATAAAACAGGCAAGAAAAAATCCCACAGATGCACACTGAAGGGTCTACAGACCAGAAGATCACAGAGAAATGATGATTAATTAATACTAATAAAAACAAACAAAAAATACTAAATACAAACAAAATAAGATATATTATTAATGTAATATTTCACTATAAAATAAAAACAATTATTTAAGAAAAATAATATAATAACATCAATTTGGCTATTATTTTATTATTATTATTATTATTATTATTATTATTATTATTATTATTAATAAATATATCATATTAAATAATTGCAGAAAAATAAAATACAAAAAAATAAAAACAAAAATAGACATTGCTATTGTAATATTTCACTGTAAAATAAAAAATCAAGTATAATAATATAAACTCCTTTTTTATTTACATTATAACTGTAAAATTACAATATTGATATTTCTTCGATTTTAAAAGTTTAATCATCAAACTTTTATTTTGACAAAAAACAAAAAAAACAAAGCTTTTCCATGTGAAAAAAAAATATAT